CCCCAAAACCCCAAAACCCCAAAACCCCAAAACCCCATTAATAACTTATTTTGTATAATAAAGAAATGGAAAAAGCTGCAAAAATGCTCCCATTAGGATTAGAAGCTCTACGTTTAAGTAATAACTTTAAATAACGTTTTAGCAAACAAGACAAGACAAGGAGGAAGAAAGAAGGGTATTAGCTTGTTGGAATTTCATTTATTAAAATTCTAATAGATTGTCAGAAGGTCCCTATTAAATCTAATCAAATACAACATAAAATAAGCAAAGAAAATGTGATAGCCTTGTATCATCTTTTAGAAGCATCATAAATCTACAGAAATATCAGCTGATAGCCCAACGAGCATTAAACAGAGGAGGAAATGAAGTATTCTTATTTTTAAAATGTAGCAAAACCAAAACATAGAAGATCAGACATGGACCACTCAGCAACTTTCAGTATTTCTAGCGAAGCCATCAAATAAATTCAAGCCAAAGCAGCACAAAAGGAAAACCTCTAGTTTGTAATGCCTTGGTATCATTTAGTAGTGCTATTGCCAAAGTAAACGTTCATAATTGCTCAGGGAAGAAAAATAGGAACCCTCGAACAAAGCTGACAAATAAGCGGGTTTACATGAATAAGTCAATGGATTTAAATCAGACAGCTTTTAACATATTCAGCTCCTTCTTTAATCAATCCCAAAGTCCAATAAAGAAGCCAAAATTTAAATCTCCAAGTGGGGATATGGTCTTCAATGTAAGTTTCTCACTTCATGATAGAAAATGAGCACGATTTGTCCGGTAGCGCTGTTAAATTCTTTTAATGGAGTAAATCATCACACAAGGTATGTTTTCTAGCTCAAGTTACTCATTTGGCTCAAAATTACAACTACAGGCCCAATAATTCGGTTTCCAAAGATTCACAAGAGGACAAGAGTAATTTTTCCAGCTAGAGTTTTTAGATAGAGCAATCATCGAAGATTTAAAATAAAGAAAATGAGATATTGAAAGGCAAAATAGAAATCCTTCAATCAAAAGTAATTCTCTAAGTTATACCCTAGCTTGTTGATACAGATGTGATCAAGTCTGATCTCATCACTCAGAATCGAAAGATTGAGCAAAAGCAGTCCAGAGTAGAAGAACTACAGGATAGATTAAGAGAGCTCAAAAAGAAGTATAATAGTAAGCCTCAAAAATTCCCTTTCCAAATTGAATTTTCGATATAGTGAAACTTAAAAGAAAAGAGAGCCATTTCATCAGCCAGATAAATGAGTATAAGACAATGCAGCAGATTTTGGTCCCAAAGTACAAGGATCTCTGTAGCAAATTAGAAAAGCTATTTGAATGGAAAAAGCGTCAGAGCTTTAAATGGGGCAACCTTGAAAAAGAATCTATTGAAAACAAGTTACGATGGGTGTTCAATAATGACCAAGAAGAAATGGATAAGTATTTGAAAGAGTATAGAAATGTTCCTGTCGAGACTGAAAATACAGCTACAATAGTACTCTTGTGCTTGTATAACAGTGTTATAGCCTTCAGATAAGAAGATACATGACGTTAGTATGAACCTAGCTCAGAGACCATTTGAGATGAATCATTTCTAGAATTTTAATTTCAATAAAATCAGATGATCTCGGGGTTTTGGGGTTTTGGGGTTTTGGGGTTTTGGGG